TCTCGCCTCATCTGCCAGCCATTGTTAATTTTGCGCCAGACCGGGAGTCAGAGACAACCGCACCCGGCCGGGAGAAGTGACTTTCCCCCTGGAATCTCCAACTTCCAGACATCGGACGAGAAAAACAGAGATACCGTTGTGAAGGTCTTGTAAAATCAATAAGAATGCACAACACATTTTTTATGTCAGGTCAAATGTGAGGTTACAAAACGTCACAAAAGGCAAAAAAGTAGTTCTGATAGAGCAGTAAAAAATATGGGAATGTGTAAAAAGGAATATTGAGGGCACAGCGTGAGCATTGAGACTGTGGTTAATCCATTCCGGCTATCTTTGTTCCCCCAAAAAGATCTGGTCAGGTCAGGTCACCGTCAAGAATTGGTCTACCAGTAGCCAACAAAAACAATGCTTCCTGCCTCTCTTTTACAATGTGCTCCTGAGTTGATTTCAGTAGGTGTGCCTGCAGGAACGAAATTCCCCAGCCATAAGAAATAACGTTTTGATTGACCTAGAGGTCAGCTCAGAGCAGCCTGGGTCAAATTCATAAATCATCCAAAGGAAAAAATCGAAGTGCTAGCCGGATCAAAGCGACATATCTCAAAGGGTCAAGCCGAATCTTGATGGCGGTGAAAACATTCAGTATTTTAAAGATATTCACTATATTCTTGTCCGTCAAAAAGTCCTGACCTTCCAACGTGACAATTCAGGGTCAAACGGGGACTCAAAGGACGAGGAACTCAGTATCGCCCAAAGCTTACCGACCAAATTTGTGTTTAAAAACATCCAAATGCTCATAACCTCAAGAGTTAGAGTCTGTCAAAACGTCCTGACCTCTCAAGGTCATCCTTCACCTTCAAACTCAGGCTCAAAGGACGGGGAACTCCATATCATTCAAAAGGTACCAGCTAATCTAAAGCTTCCACACATCGAAATATTCAACACAGAAAGAACTAACGTCCTTCAAAAAGTCCTGACGTTTCAAGGCGACCGTTCAAGGCCAGACGCGAGGTCAAATGACGGAAAACTCAATACCACCCAAAAATTACCTGCTGATTTTAAACTTAAAAACATCAAAATATTCACAAGAACAAGAGCTAGCGTCTGTCAAAACGTCCTGACCTCTCAAGGTCATCCTTCAAGGTCAGACTTGAGCTCACAGGACGGGGAACTCCACAGCACCCAAAAAATACCGGCGGATTTCAAACTCGCAAGCATCAGAATATTCACCACAGAAACAACCAGCGTCGGTCCAAAAGTTTTGACCTCTCAAGCTCGAATTCCATATCGTCCCAAAATCACGGGCTGTTTTCAAGCCTCCAGAACCAGGACATTCACTACAGAAAGGACAAGCGTTCATCAACAAAGTTCTAGCGTGTCAAAGTCATCCTTCAAGGTCAGGCGCGGGCTCAAGGAATGAGGAACCCAGTATCACCGAAAAATGCCGGCCCATTTTAAGCTTGCAAACATCAGAACATCCAGCACAGAAAGAACTAGCGTCAGTCAGTCGATTTAGCAGTTAGCTAGTCTCCGTCCGTTGAGCCCGCGTTTGACCTTGAAGGGTGACCTTTAGAAGTCATGACTTTTTGGCGGGCGCTAGTTTTTTTCTTCTTCTGTGGTGAGCATTCTGATGTTTGTCAGTTTAAACTTAGCCGTTAATTTTTGGGTGGCATGGAGTCCCCCACCCTTTGGGTCCACGCTTGACCTTGGAGGGTTACCTTGAGAGCTCTGGATTCTATTTACGAACACTAGCTCTTTTTGTGTAAAATATTCTAACGTTTTTAAGGTGACAATTGGCCGGTAATTTTGGGATGATATTGAGTTCTCCGTCCTTTGAGCCAACGTTCGACCTTGACAGGTGGCCTTGAGAGGTCAGGACTTCTTGACGGACGCTAGCTCTTGCGCTCCTGAATGTTTTGATGTTTGTAGTTTGGAAATCGGCCGGTAATTTGTTGGTGATATCGAGTTCCCCGGCCTTTGACCCGGTTTTTGACCTCAAGGTCACATGATATTGTAAAATAAAGGTCATTTTGATGTTTTCATGTGATAATTCATCTTAAGATCCCTTTTCAGAGAGATCGGAACTCGTCGCTGAATAAATCGCTGAGTAAATCGTTAAGTTCACGGGCATCCCTCAAAGACTTCCGGCGCAGCCCCTGAGTGCTGTCGACTTAGAAAGAGACGGATGAAAGATGTATAGGTTGCTTTTTTCCACACAATCATCTGATACCTGCCTTCTTCAGTTTATCAACTTAGAGGTACAGACTGCATTGTATCTTTAGTGCATAGTAGCTTCTATTCCAGTTCAAGAAGGTAAATATTGAAAAAGAACACTAAGGAAACGGGCGCCAAATGACCGCTACGGTCGAAGCGCTCCCAAACCCAAATGTCACCACCTCAGGCGAAGAAGATCGTGCTCCTCGAAATCTATTGGGGGGGGGGGGGGATGGGAGATACTACCCTTACTAAGACTGGCTACGCCGCCGCGTGGGTGAGCTCATTGAGCACAGAGTATGCGTAGGCAAACATAATCGAGTGGCCACTGGGGGAGCCAACTCAACTAGCATCGCTGCTCTCATCAACCTGCGTTGTGCATGGCATTGCCACGACGGGCATTTCATTTGTAGCATGTTCGAACAGATGTGGATAAGGCTCGCTTTCTGCTCAGACGCTCAACAGCTTGGAACAATGTCTCGTCGCTTCACTACGTCCAACGTTTCGTGATGCAATCAAGCAGTGACGTATTTAGAAGTATGTTTAACAAATTATGACATTTTGTTGTCTAGAACAGTCTTCTCCACCTTAAAGTATACCAACAGTTATAAGTGAGCTTCTGTCTTCATATCTGATGCTTGCTTCAATATCTTCAAATATGGGCACTCCTTTTAACAGAGATGAAACCCGAATCTAAAGAAAATTGGGAATTTGGAGGCCCAAAAGTTAACAGGAGTCAACCGGAAAAAGTCCAAATTCAACTGGAAGGACAAAAATGTCAGACGGAATAAAAGTCAACGAGAATAATGGTGACGTCAGAAAGCAAATCAAAAGACAAACGAAATTAGCGAACGGGGATGAAGCCAGTTGGGACAAAAGTAAAATACTAGTCCAATCGGTTTCAGGCAGGGGTCGTCGGAATTCGGCGTGTGACAAGAAAGGGAATGTCTCTTGGGTACACTCGGATGCACCCGTGGGCCCAACGGGGTTCGCAACCTCGCATTCCTGAACCCTGCAACCCGGTCCGCCCACGCCCGTTCGTCGATCGGCCTGAGCGCTAGTGAGCCTTCGCACCTTCATGACCGAACACCCCCTGTGGCTCTCTAGTGTAAGCTATGAACGTCCCGCCGGTCTCAATTCACCGCTATGAAGATTCCTTCTCCAGCCATTGATTGGCTGGGGCGGTCGCCGGCAACAGAGGTGCCCACGTTGGGAGGCGAGGTACAGCGTTGGCGCCTAATACCAACCTGATATGTATTTATTTTTAATTCTGGTCCTCAGCAGACATGTGCTTGAATTCAAATGTTGATATCTGGTTTCCATTTCCCGCTGAAACCGAGATCTTGGATGTTGTTCCGGCTGGGTCTTCGTGTAATCATCATGCTATCGTTGTCATCTACCAGGTCATCAAAATCGTTATCGTCATTTTATCGTCGTCGTCCACGTAATATCAGCATTGTCATCGTCATCATCTGCGTCAACATACCGGTGTCGTCTTAGTCGTTATTGACACAGCTTCGTCTCGGCCGCTGTGGCAATCAGCATCGTGTCCTGGTTGTCCTCGTCATCAACGCCGTGTCGTCGTTTTCGTCACCATCATCGTCGTGTTGACCTTATCACGAACACCGCGTGGTCGTCGTGGTCGTCGAAATAATCAACATTGTCTCTTTGACTTGATCATCATCTTGCCATCGTCATCACCTTGTCATCATCTCTATCAGCATCGTGTTGTCCGCCACAAGCATGATGTCGTCAAACATTGTGTCATCGTTGCCGTCGTTGTCCCCATCGCGTGGTCGTTGCTATCAATGGCGTGTCGTCTTTGTCGAAATCACCGTTGGCATCGATCTCACGCTGAGATAATTAAATATTGTGGCATCGTCATCAACATCACCTTCGTTTTGTCGCATTCGAGAGCATGCTATCGTAGTCGTCGTCACCGTCCTTCAAATTAACTCCTTTGTCACCGTCATCAACCCCGTGTCGTCTTCATCGTCGTCGCCGCCAACATCGTGTTGCGTCCATCGCTGCCGTCAACATGGCCCTCGTTTTCACACAATCTTGCCATCGCCACTGACATCAACAATTGACCCGGCCCCGAACTCAACACATCGTCACCACGTGACCTTATGCAAATGACACCGCATTGTTCTTTTCACGAATTTGGAGTTGTCGCGAGTGGGACCAATTTCAGTGTGGTCATGGGAACGAGGAGGACCATTTTTAACGAAGTAGGTTCGAGATGCGAGGCTGACGTGGGTCTGCTGCTACCCGAGGAGGTCCTGTTTGGTCTGCGCCGAGAGCTTCACCACGTGTCATAAGCTGACGGAGGAGTTTAAGTTTCTAAGTGGTGCATTGGGAAGGGGAAATGTCCACCTCCCTGGTGAGAAACACGCGATGGCAATGCCGTCCTCGCTTCTCCTATCCCGCCTCAGCCCAATCAAGCGCCTTGCTGGGAAGTAATACAATCAGAGCTCTTTCAACAAGTATGTATTCGGGCTCACATTGCCGGACATTCCGCAGGAGCTCGTTCATGTCAACTTGAAACGACGGATACCGCGTGATGAAACACGCGTGGAGTGAGGACAAGATGTGGAAACATTCCGCGACACGTTCTCCATTTCACGCCGTTTTAAAGGTAAGAGATTAGGTGGGCGGCATATCACATCAGGAGCCAGAAATACCTCCCTTCCAACAAAATCCCAACAAGAGCGTAGTTCAACGATGCCTAAATCCTTTTAGCGCAGGGAGCGTTACCAACACGCTAACATAGTCATGTGCTCTTGACAAAAGCTGCGTCTCAATAATGGAAGAGCACGATTAAGCTGGCAAAGATCACACAATAAGCATGGATAATGGAAGAGAACAACTGGGCCCAACGCCCATTTGGCGCCCTCTGGGTGCCAGGATCCATGTCCACCTCCACGTCCACACACGAAGCCTACTTAATATCCTTCATCAGAGGTGGTGACCTCGTATCCCGGATACCTTTTTCCTCAACAGGCCCGCGGTGATGGCGTGGTCCGCCCGGCCGTACCCCTGCGAGTAGCCGAACACCTCGAGCTTCCGCTGGTCCGGCTGGTGGACGATCCGGCCGCCGCCCACACACTCGCAGCTCAGGCCCAGGCCCGCGATCTGCGCCTCCAGCTTCTCAAATATGTCCGCGTGGAAGGCGCCCCACTGAAAGCCGCGCACAAAATACTGAAAGTCGTCGTCACCGGCGTTCTCGGAAGTGTACACCTTGGCCAGCACATACTTGAACCTGCCACTGGGGTCGATTTCCACGGGTGGCACATCCGCGAGGCCCGATGACGTCATCGCGGAACCTGAAAAGACAGCATTGACTCTCTGTTGGTCATATGACGGGTGAGATTTGGACCTCCCGACAGCATTCTGCAGGACGCCCTCCCTCATTTGCTTTCACAACTACTGACAAACTGCTGTGGTGCTGCCAAATCCCATATGTATCGTGCATGGTTTACTTAGTATAAACAGCCTTCCTATAACAAACGTCATGTTTGCAAACGATGAGCAAAGCAATGCTAAATTGTCGGTAGATTTAGATGCATGCGCTAAAGCTACGACCTCATTTGCAGACAGCACCCCGATCATTGCACACCGCATGGTGACAGCTGAGGTCAAGTCACTGATAACAGACATACAATAAAGCCACGACCTCTTGTTGCCGGTGCCCCAAACGTGGCATACTGCACAGTCAAAGACACACTCCCCAGCCACTAAGCTGACTGAGACGGAAACAGCAGCAAATGAACTATCCATGTGTTTGGTGCTTGTAAGTTCCAATTACACGGGTTGCAACAGGCGGGGCAAAACGATACGCTAATGATAGGCATCAGGAGTATTTTTCCGTCGAATGGTCACCGAGTCGCGTGCTGTGGCTGGCCGGCTGGACCAGGCACCGCCTTCAGGTACGGTCGGTAAATGAACAATAAGCTATTGTCCGACTCGGTGTACGACACGAGGCCCGTATCACTGGCTTATTAACGTAATGCACGTTTCAAGGGAATAAGGCTGTAACAATGAGCCTCGAACAATGGCGAGATGGGCCTCGAGGGGCCGGACATCATATACTACAAAAAGTTGGGCTGCTTTTCAATGATAAGGCGCTCCAGACATCAAGAGCGTTAAAACGGTCCCGAGGACGACCGGAAGCCTCGGTTCGGCCAAGTTCAGATAATCCGACCTGTTGTTGGGTTAACGGTTTAGGTGGTTCGAAACAGCAACGGGCCATCAGTTGTGACCCGCAGAAGTCACACCCCTCAGAGACGGCCGGAGGTCAGATGCCTGGATGACAATCCGGAACGGATGAACCCTCGGGCTGGGCGTCAGCGTGTGCCGCCATCTTTGCAAATTGAGCATGTGACGGTCCACGATACTTGTACAGCCTGGTGCTACCTCTGGAATGGTGCATCTTGACACTGTTGTTCATGCCGATGCGTTTGCAATGACACCAGAGTGCACCAGACCGCATCACCAGCCAGGCAGACGGTCAGCAGGTGTCGGCGATCGACTCGCACGATCGACTCCTGGTGGCTAATGCTCGCACCAGGCGACTGGTGGGAGTCCGGAAGCTGATCGCCACGCGGTAGCATGTGAATTACTCTGCACCTTGGGTATGGCGTAGGATATTGTTGTTGATCTCAATCAAATGTACGCACGTCTTTCACCTCGCACCATACGATTTCGCCTTCATCGACCGCTGTTAATTGTTCCTTTGTTCGGTTGCAATCTCTCCTATTGACCACGCGCATTTAACTCATGATACTTTGCTTCCAATCAGCTCGGTGGTATAAGGATACGTACGCGCCAATAGTGCAGTGTTAAACGCGTCTCAGTTCACCACTGCGCGTCTGAGCGACCAGAGATGCGGGGTTCAATTCCTCGCGATGCCCGCCCTTCCTGCCAGGGTGAGAGGCAGGCGACGCGACATAGGCTAAGCAGCTAAGTGCGTCGTAAAGCCCCAATGATGAAGGTGTTGGGATATCGACTTCAGCGAAGGGCGCCACAGTGATGTCAGTGCGCAAGGTGACCGATTCTTACCAAATCGAATGGAACTTTCGCAAGTCATTCTTCTCCAGGGACACTTCTAGACAGTGTTTTATTTACCCACACCATATCCCACGGTATGACTGGTATACTACACCACTGATGTGGAATCTTACGCGTTTGTGGGTCTGCCCGGTAATTCGCTAGCCGTCCAACTGAGCGACGGTTTCTACGAAGAAAGGCATCGTGACCAGATGCGTGTGAATGTACCAGTAATTCCTGAACTAGTACGCTAATGCTGCAGCAGCTGAGGTTTTCAGCCCACGCAAACACGACCGTGGCCGAAGTGCGTCAGATTTCGTATCATGGCCCTAGCTTTGGTTTCACGTGACCCTTGAAGTACCATTTTGGCCTTGTCATGGTTCTTTTTTTTGTCTACAGTCCGCACTGCCCGCCCTATCATGACATATCGCACCACTTTTCGAGGCTGTCGCGCCAACAAAGCCACCAATGGCAAAAAAGAGAAAACACAATGAGAGCCAACAATTTCAGCCAGCCATTTCCACAAACAAACGACATCTGATGACGGATGGACAACTTGCCGTCCGAAACGTTGCGCACATTCTGTCATAGAAGAGGAGAACGATAATCCGAAAGAAGTTTATCCGTACTGCTAACACCTCGTCTGGGTCAGCTCGCAAAGTGCTGGAGGAATTTGTTATCCCAAACAGTTTAAAGAGTAAATAAGTTGTTTTGATTTAAAGCAATTAAAGTTGTCTTATTTCATTAATTTGAAGCAATCCTGTACACTAGATTTGTTTTGGCTTTTTTCCCATGATTTCAAAATGATGGGTTTGGCCTTGGTCATGCAATTTTGAACTGAGGACTTTGGCTTTGGCATCAAATTTTCTAAGCTTGAAGATACCTCTGGCTTTTACCCTTGCACATAAAAAGTTTGCAGCCATTTGGAGCCACGTTCCTAGCCAGGAAAACGCACATGTGGTCTGTGGTACAGCATCCTGATGACATTCACATTTCAGTATATGGAATGCAAGCATTCCTCCTGGACTCAGCCAATACACCAGAACTGGATCCTGTTTTAGACCCCTAGTTCCACATGCAAGTTTGAATTTAAATTCCTGAAAGCACACCACTTAACACTCAGATTCTATTTCTTTCCCCCTTCAGGTGATACAACATGACTTTGTGTTATGGGGATAGCAACATTCAAAATAGGAAGCACTCTCATGCATGGTATGTTCAAGATACCCCATGTTTGTCCTTGGCCCATTAGCTGCATGACTTCATGTTCACACTTTATCATGGAAATTAACTTGCTGATGAGCAATAGGCTCCAACCCTAGAAGTTAAGGCATCTTCCCCACTGATGCACAAACACTGCATGACATTTGCCTGACATGGGATACTTAATCCCATGCATGAGAACCAGATCAGGCAAGCCCTTCTTTCCCTATGCAATGGCAGTTTTGTTTCCATTTTGAGTTTGGCATTTTTATGCTGACAACAATGTACCTTTATTGTACCAGGAGGCAATGGTTCAATGATATTATCAACATCATAACAAATGTGTGCTTAATGACATTATTTGACCAGTGCCTCATGTCATATACAAATTGAGTAGTTGTACATCTCAGCAGGAGAACTCCAAACTCATAATGCAAAAACATGAATCTAATGGCCTTACTAACATAAAACTTTGTTCACTGGACCTTCCAATACAATTGCATGTTGAACATCACATCAGTGCTTTTAAAGACAACTGAGCTTTTGATGGCTGAATGGAGTGCATGGATGTCTATGTCTGGGCAAGTGCAGATAACTTTTGCATAGAATGTGCACTCAACACAAACATAAACCAAAAGTTAAGGTGATGGGACATGGAAAAATGGCAAAGGATATGTATGAAATGAGAATTTAGTTTTTTGGATTTGACAAGAATGCCAGCATGTGTTTCTGTGCATCTGCCCCAACTGTTTTCCCCTCAGGTGGTGACATATGTACATAAAAACATCACTAAAATTTGGTGTGCCTGTCCAGAACCACCAGAATTCTTTAAACTTTCTTATCCTACAACCTGAACTGAAAAACTGGAAAATTTCAATTTTGAGCCATTAGTATGTCAACCCTTCTGAAAGTCACATATTAAGTGCATATTCTTATTATTGTGCTATAAAATAAGTAAAATATATGCTGCTTTCTATCATGCATCATATAATCAATCAGACAGATCTAAGGCTGCAACCAAATGGGGTTAATGCAACCACAAACCAAGCAGTAACTGCAAGTAGGAATTAAATCACCAATGCACATTATACTCAATGGAATGAGTGGGTGGAACCAGATGAAATTTTGAAAAGTTTCACCTTTGCATAGGGAGTTTAAAAGCAACATCACTTTACACTCTGAAAAATAGGCACCCAAGACTCATTGAGGGGCATTATAGCTTCTGAATATAAAGGCTCAGTGCAAGACCCCACATCGGGCACATGTGGAGTGCTGGCTGCCCCCTTAGAACATTGTTTGCTATCAAGCCTAAGAAGTGCTTCCAAAAGTATTGCATCCCTACCTGAGACTCTAAGAAGTGTCCTACATCCATCGACAGGGCCCCGCCCGACTATCTCCCTAAATGAGCTCATCAAAAGTTGCATTTTACAACAACGAACAAAAATAACAAAATGGAATACCTGCAAGTCTTAAAACTGACTTCAAAATATTGTCAGCCTTTCTTTCCACGCCCAACCCACGCCGTTATTAGCCGGCCGGCGCAAACCAACCACGCTCACAGCAACGACCGTGGTACGTAATGCTACAATGTCAACGCATCATCGATAATATTTAGTAAGTAGTGCTATGAGCGGCGACTCAGTCAGTCAGCTGTTGCTGGACTTTGCCAGCTGCCTCCATTTACTGACGTCAGGTAAATGTTGATTAACAAAACTGACAATGACAGGCTACAAAGAATACGGTACTAATGCGTAAACTGCATTACAAGCAGTGGACAAGTGCAAAACGACGACTTTGGAAGATCAGATTCCAGAGATATATCCTAGCTTTAAGACGTTTGCAAGTTTTTTCTTCTAGCCGTCTAATAATTTTTGAACTTTCTAGCTTTCTGTTATTACCTTTTCCTTACCTTCTCACTTTTTCATCCTGGAACGGTTAAGATGATGCCACAATCGGCTCACGTGCATTGTTTACAATGCTCAAAAGACAGAAATATGACACATTTTGTCCAGCATTGGTCTTTTTTTGGAGAGGACATGACCTGGTTGGCCCTTGAATCCACACTTGAGGCAGTCAACAGAGGAGGAGCTTGAGCCAAGCTTGAGCTGGGTATGCAACACAAAATCAGAAGAACTATGAATCCCTTAACAATTTCCTGTAGATAGATACGCTATGGTTTGCAAGACCATGTTTAACATTAATGGGCCATTCGGTATCCAAGATTTCCACGTATTGCAAATTTTGACATAACATGACTGGTTCTATTTGCCTACGCTTTGATGGTTTGTTGAGGTCAGTGTCTCAAATTTACATCTTCTACTCTACTTACAGCATTTAATGTGTGGGGAACTAACTCTGGCGTCATATATTGGAAGCAGCTGAGAGCGTTACTTTAGAACAGCTGACAGCTCTTCTGTGGGTGGCGCACTTGCGGCGTTCCTGGTCGCCGTTTTTCCGGTTTTTCCCCTGTATGCATAGTGACACATAGTGGGTACCAAGCCATAGAACAGCTTTGGTGGGTGCTGGGTGCATGCGGTTGAGGCGGTGAGCGGCAGTATTTAAGGTACTTGTAGTACAGCTGTACGTGAGTCGCTGTGTTCTGTCACTTACTTTTTATACGAGCGCTGTAAGTTCGATGGAAATCCCGCGGTTAGAATAGTACCGAGCCACAACCACGTCATTCCCTTCGACCAAAACAACTTCCGTGACTAGCTATGCCATGAACATAGAACAATGTTTAAACTTAGCCCAACAGCCAAACCCATATGTGAGTCTAAGCATACACTTCACTAGGAAGTTGAATTTTGTGGATTGTCTTAAGGTGGTATTAGTTCTGTGGTTCAATGTGAATAGGTCAGGAATTATACATAATCTTGAAAGTGACGAGCTTGTGTGTATGGAAGGATATCTGAAGAAGTTTTTTCTATTTGCATAGAACTCTCAAGCTAGGGGTGATCACAGATTTTTTGATACACTGATGAGGCTCATGCTAGTTGCCTGATACTAGGGTGCATATGTGAATGTTACTCTTGGACATTTTGTTGGTGGTAACAGCAACATGTTGGATGTAGTAGCATCATTACCCCCAACAGTTCAAAGGCATGCACACCATAAATGTGAGCATCTTAGTTTAGTGCACTGCCCTCACCTCTTTCATCACATATCAATATATTTATACTTTAGTAGTAATGGCCCAATAAATTGTAATGCCTGCAAAGGCAATGTAAAAGAAAAATTCACCTCAGAAATTTACAACAAAAAGTCTTGAATTTAATTCCAATCTTGCTTTTCCTGAGTTTTGTGCAAATGTGTACCTAGTTCAGCACACAAATGTTATATGGATGTCCAGTGCAGTATGTGGGTTTGTATTTTTTGCATACTGGTCTTGATATCTACTGGTTTAGTTCATGCCACTCTATCAGTTGTAGTATGAATTTATGATCTTTCAACCAAAGATGCATATTGTAATGCAAGCCATGAGCTGGTGATGATTCTTTTTAGAAATTATGTTAAGACCTCTTTGTAGTTTTCCCACTAACCAAGTTATCTTTGTATCTGTGAAAGAGTATGTTAAGAAATTAACTGTTATTTTGGGATGGAGCAGGTTCTGTTTGATGACCTATTGGTATTCAAACAGTTTCCATAAAAAATAAAAAAACTGCCTGATCTGGATTTTTCAAGTTGAAAAACCTTTTGGCAGGTTTCTACCTTGTGCACAATGTCTACTAACTGCAAGTGTTGGAATGAGGTCAGCAGTTGCCTGCATGATACAAGAAATGGTGTGATAACATATGCTGCACATCCACCCTATCATAACAAGTTCTTTGAAAAAATGAAGTTTTTGTTTTACTGTGTCCGCCATGCTTGGTAACTTGGCAGAGCCACACATGCTTGTGAGGTCAAAACATCACCACAAAACTGTGGTAATGTACACTCTAAATGCAAAATGAATGTGTGATCTTTTCTTAGACCATGGGTCATATGACTACAAAATCCTCAAGGCTTTAGGCTTTAAATCCTCCAGGCTTTAATCCTCTTTGTCTATATACAGCACTGCATTTATGGTACTCCCAACTAAAGGCCAATTTTATACTGTTGACCAGTCAATTATACAATTAACTACACAGCTAAAATAATAATACAGGTCAGTTTTATACAAATCAGTAAATGCCACTACCTACAGACTACTGCAGTACTTTGCAAAGGAAAACCTACCATGGTTGTTAATTGCTGCCTTGCTATCAGGGTTTGTCATCAGTTTCTTGTGTGCCATACACTGACAAACACCCTTCTCTGTTAGCAAAACAATGGGAACTTAAGCCATCAAGTTGGCTACCAGGGTCATAGTATCTATTATGATCTTGGTAACCATCAGCCAGGGGCTTTTCCAAACTATCTGCAGACATGTCCTATTTGAAAGACCTAAAATCTGAGGGCGGCACTGCCTATGCCAACATGGTCCTTCTTTATTGATGCACCCAACCATGCACATCAGGCCAGTTCTTTAGCCTTTGCACAGTGGGTGCTGGCATAGCCCACAACACAGGAATTGGCACGAACTTCAGTCAGCCAGTTCAAGACCAGTCTCAATATTCTGCTATTGTTGGGTCACCCCTCAATAAGGTTTTCCAGTTTTGCTATTGTCATGAACAGACCCAAACACAACCCACTGATGCTGCACATCATGAGGTCCCGATGCCACTGATGCCTTAGCCACTGATGCCTTATATTCTGTGCTTTTTAGGTATAACAAATACGGCGATGGTCTGTTCTGGATACCGCGCACGTTGCAGAGCATGCCTGAGTTTGAGTGTTTCGTCGCCTTGTCAGACCGAACAACACATTTCAGATCGCTCAGACTATGGGAAGAACAAAAAGACTGCGCCGTAGAAGGCGTGCTGCTTGTCCGCAGAGGCCGATTAGCGTGGCGAAAGAGCTGGTGGGGCTGACCCGGTGGATGGCCCACCATGAGTGGGAGGGCGCGCGCTCGCTGGTCCCGACACTGTTCCCTGCCACCGGCCGCGGTCTGATGGCGCGCTCGGCGGTCCGGCCCGGCGCCACGCTCGTCTCTGTGCCGCGCCGCATGCTCATCACCTCGGCCACGGCGCTGGCGTCCGAGCTGGGGCCGCTGCTGCGCGCCGCCCGGCCGCCGCTCTCCGGTCAGCTGACGCTCACGCTGTTCCTGCTGCTGGAGCGGCGGCGCGGCGCCGACTCCGCCTGGCGGCCCTACCTGGACTCGCTGCCGGCCGCCTACACCACGCCCGCCTTCTGTCGCGGGCACGAGCTGTCGCGCCGCCTGCTGCCGCGCGTGCTCCTGACGGCCGCGCTCCGACAGCGTGCGCTGCTGCGGCGCCAGCTGGCGCGCGCGCGCCGCCTCCTCCGTCAGGCGACGGCGCCGCCGCTGGCCGACTGGCGACCCGATCCGCGAGACTTCCGGCACGCCTGGTTCACGGTCAACACGCGCGCCGTGTTCTTAGAGCCGGAGCGCTCGCAGCCAGCGATCGTCGAGGACACGTGCGCGCTGGCGCCGTTCCTCGACCTCTTCAACCACGCGCCGGACGCGACCATGCGCTGTCGCCTCTCCCCCGGCGGCTGCTACGAGCTGGTCACTGAGGACGCGTTCGCGGCGCGCTCACAGGTCTTCATCAACTACGGGCCGCACGACAGCCTGCGCCTGCTGCTCGAGTACGGCTTCGTGGTCCCGGACAACGAGCGGGACGCGGTTCCGGTGCCGGCCAACTGGCTGCCGCTGCCGGCGGCGGCGCGCGCCGCGACCGAGCGGGCCGGTCTGCCCACCGAGCTGTCGGTCGGTCGGTCGGGCGCCTCCTGGGGCCTGGCCGTGCGCCTCTTTCTCGTCTCGCTGTCCGAGTCGGAGCTGGCCGCCGGCAGGTGGCGCGAAGTGTGGCGGCTGGCGCCCGACGAGCTGACGGCGGCGGCCGCGGCGCGGCGCGCGCTGGCCGCGCTGCTCGCGCGCCTGTTGCGCACGGTGGATGCGTGCGGCGCGGCGCAGCGCGCGCAGCCGGCGCCGAGCGACGCGCTGCGCGCCTGCACCGCCCTGCTGGACGAGTGGCGCCGCGTGCTGGCGTGTCATGTGTGGGTGCTGGACTGCGCGACGTCGCGCGACGGCCGCCAGTGGACGACGTATGGCACCCGGCTGGGCGAGACGGTCCGTCTGCAGGCGGACGAGCCGGAGAGTGACGAGGACCAGTGTGCTGCGGCGGAGCTCTCCGCTGATGAACTGGCCGCCGATCAACCGCGTGAAGACTGAACAGTCGGGGAGTGACAACCGTCGGAAGACTGCGTAGTCGGGGATGACAGCTTTGAAGGTAGTGAGGCGAGCTCTGGGCAAGTCGAGGCAGATGATGGTGATAGAAGTTGGCTGTGAGAATCGACAAGCTCATCGGAAAGGAAGCAAATCATGCGCGTGATTTATGAAGAATCGTATCGTGGTCGAGTAGACGAATGGAGATATGGGAATGAGCTCAACATTGGACAGCAGATGTGAGAAGCCATGTCACTATGCAATATGGTCTTCCAAGCTACTCTAAATGATTTAACAGTTTTTGTCACTGTGTGCAGACATGGGCCTGGAGTCCCAGAACGATCCCAGGATCCCATGTACATTGTACCCTATGCGATCCTGGATTTACTCTTGGGTTCGTGGATCCTTCATAGGATTTAAGCACATGTCAGCTGTGTGTTGGTCGGATTCATGTCATGCGTTGCCATGTCCAGGCCGGGATGCTTCAGCGTTGTGGGAACTGAGAAACGTTGGCTGTTTTGAAAACGGACACGAATATGCAACTGAGTGTTGAAGCATAGGAATACTAGATGTGATGTGACCATATATACCCTTGCTTAAAAAGGACAGGGAACAAATACATGCTACTAAAGCATTGTCTATTATTAATTGCAAAACTTGTCAAATATGGCAGCACGTTTTCCTCCCATCCAGCTTTTCCCCGGAAGGAATACGGTGCATTAGGTATCCAAACAGTACCAGGCAATGTGGATGTCGGTGTTAAAACGGTAACATCCGTTACAATATTCCAGCAATTGATGAAACTAGCTGAAAAGAGCTTCCATCGTTGCATCTCTGTAACGGCGTATCCAGTACAAGTGTTGAACTGAAACAGGCCGTCCAGACAGCTTCGTGCCATGTTCGTCGAAACAATTACTGGTATTGTAAACGTACAGAATGTGTTCGGAGGCATCGGACGCAGTAAAGCAATTGTGATGACAAAACATGGTCGAATGTTCTGCTTGGTTTCGTCAATGGTCAAAGTTTCGCGAACAAGCAACAGCTGAACTCTGTCGAGCTTTGTAGTTTGATGGATCCGTGAGATGAATGTATTGGAATTATATGCCATTCTTCGCGGACAAACGTGGGCACGGGATGTTAAGATTTCTTTTGTTGGACACGGGGTTGGTTCCTTGGCTTTCTTTTGCAATCGGACACCATGTAAATGTACTCTGTGATCACCACCCGCTTGAGACACCGGCAACATTTCCCAGAACAGCCCAGCGTGATGAGGCGGCCCACGCGCGTGCGACCTCGGCTCGGCTGTTTCCAGCGTCACGTGATCTGACGCGGCCACCCGTCTGTTGCAGAGGTCAGCTGGCGACAACCTGACGTGCCGCGCGGGCCGTGCCGTTCAGCTCTCTGCGGGTGTGGTCTGACGGCGCGGCTGTGACGGGCGCGCCGGCCGAGGCGGCACCGCCATGCTGGCCTGGCGGCTGGCCCGGCGCGGCGGCCCGGCGGCCCGCCTGCTGCTGACGTCACCGCCACCACCGGCGACAGGTCAGCCGGGGGGACGCGGCCGTGTCGCCGCCGCCCACCCCGCGCCACAGCGCCCTCCTGCTGCTTGGTGGACGGCCTAGCTCAGCCGGCTGATGGGGCTTCCACGGCGCCGCCTCATCGCCGTTAGCTCCGCCCGCTTATGACCTACTATGTATCTATGAACCTCGCTTTGTGTGTTGTGCGTAATGGCCCACTGCTGGCACTCCTTCCTCGCAGTGGCCTGACGTCAAGACCAGATCAGACATCCTTCGGTTGCTTGCTTGCGCTCGGCGGCAGACCCGCACTCACGATGTGTGCCCCTGTCCATGCACTACATGCTACGCCTTTCCCTCGCGCTGTGGCATGCCGGTCAGCGTCTCACCCGCTCACCCCTCCTCGCTGTGTTGGTCCGCCCCGGCCTCGCGATGTCTAGAACCCGCGCGCCGGCCCTGTTCAGCGCCGGACGCCCACGAGCGTCCCGGACCGCTCCGCTGAGGGCGCGGTGCAGCACCGGGCGCCCACGAGCGTCCCGGACCGCTCCGCTGACGATGCGGCCACTGCTTGCAGCGGCGGCGCTGGCGACCACGGCCGGCGTGCCGAGTCTGGCGGGCGGGCAGCGCCCCAGCCGACGACGTAAGACGCCCGGCCACGCGCTCTGAGGTCCCGCTGGGACGAGGAGGGGGCCAGTGAAGTGTTCCGAAATGATGGGTGGTGATGACGTGGCCGAGGCATAACACGGATGGGGATTGGCAGTGGGCTGCGTTTGAGTAGCTTTGGGCGGCTGATGATATTATGTGCTTTATGAGCTGATTTGGAAGATAGCTTGGCAAAGTGAGAACTCGGCTCGGCGTATCAAACATGAACACTTGGCATCTGCTGCTTTCACTGTGTGCACATTGCATCCAATGTTATGAATATGTCAGTTCCTGCACAGCGTAGATGGTCTAAGGATTATCTCCGTTAGTTTTGTGTCCTACTCATTCCTAATTCGACACATTGTGTAACGTACATCGTCCGGTAACTTACAGTCTACCTAGAGCTGGCGTATTTGTCCGTTGCGGCTGATTGGTGCCCGTGTTTGCTTTAACTCCGGCCACGCGGCCCACGTATTGCACGTCGCGACTGCGCCGCATTCGGCCTGGATTGAGCCGGCTTGGACCGTGGCTGCTGCTGCTGCCGCAGGTCTGCTGGCCAGCAGGGTGGTGGTGCGGGGCTGCTTCCACCCGGGCGCCTCCAGCCTGTCCCGCGAGAGCCTGGGCGGCCTGCAGGGACCCGAGGTCACCTCCACACACATGGTCAAGACCATGCTGAGCTACGTATGGCCAAAGGTACTGGACGTGGCTGGAGGCATGCAGCTCACACGCCGCGACCACCAGACTGCAGCGGACGATCGCTGTATTCCATCAATACCCATGTGACTAGCTGACACCCAGCCATAAAATTATATTGCTCATGTTATGGATTGGCTATTTCGTATTTAGCATGCTTCCAGTGTGCGTAGGACTCAAAAGCTGCTGGTAAGTTCTTCTCATTAACACGGTGACAGATACTTCCACGCTAATTATTAGTCGTCCACATGGTGGAATGCTATGTGGGGGTTGATAGACATATTTTAGTTTATATTAATTATATTTTACGCGTCCTGAACGATATCAACCAAGTGAGAAGCGTCCGCGGCTGCACGCCCGCCGAGCGGCGCCTGGTCGTCGCGTGACGGTCGGCTCGCCTTTGCAGAACGAGCCCGATAGCCGGCGCCGCGTGATGGCCGCCCTCGGCCTCCTGGTCGGCGCCAAGCTGGTCAACGTCCAGGTGCCGTTCATCTTCAAGGCGCTGGTCGACTACCTGAACGAGCAGACGGGCCAGACGCTGGCGCTGGTCGAGCCGGTGGCCACCGTGGCCACCTACGCCACCGCCCTCGTCCTTGGATGTGAGAGCGGCAGTGGGGCTAGCCGATGGGTGGTAGGCTGCGCCCCCCTCCCCCGCGGACTGGGATCGCAGTGTAGTCGGTTGCGGGAGTGGTCTTGCTGGTGCTCCGTCGGGATGATGGGAAATCGCGGCTCGGACGTACGGGAGTACGGCACGTGTGCGGGACGTGCGCATGGTCAGGTGTACCATATATGCGGCGTTCACTTTGCGCAAGCTTTTATTTCTGCACGGTAAGAATCTTTTAGCAAATACGTTTGCCGTTGGTGGAGGATGCCAATTTCGCTCCAAGGCACGCGAGGCCTGTCTGGGTGTGTCTCGAGGCCATGTTACCGGTGTGCCGCTGGTCATTCCATGCTGAGCGTTGCCCCTGTTCCAAAAAGAGACGGCCACTGCCCCCTGAGCTCACAAGACTGGCGATCTGCGCGTCACGTGATACGTGCTCCACAGACTGACACACGCCTTTGATGTCAGTGATGCAGTCCCGAAAAACATTTAGGGGCTTAAAAACCTTTTTGTTAGGTTTATGGCACGAAGGTATGCTTAAATGTTGTTTTATTGTATTTGGGCCTCGGTTTTTGTGTTTGTTGGAAATGAAAGCATCACGTTGTAATTCACTTGCCTTATTCCGATACCTCCTATTTTTTCTCAGCTGCTGTAGGAAGTCGAACGGGGTCCCATCTCATTAGCTTCGGAAGGGAGGGCTTAGTCTCAAGTGTGGGGGAGGGGCTGTGCTTGTGCCATATACATGTATATCACCGTATTCGCGTGCTCCTCTCCCCTCAGACGGCATCGCGCGGGCCGGGGCGGCCGGCTTCAACGAGCTGAGGAACGCCGTGTTCGCCAAGGTGGCGCAGCGCTCCATCCGCAAGGTGGCGCGCAATGTCTTCCTGCACCTGCACCAGCTCGACATGGGCTTCCACCTGAGCCGACAGACGGGCGCGCTGTCCAAGGTGCGTGCCGGCTGAGCGTGCAGGGGTGCCGGCCGGCCCCCGCTCCTAGCGCGCGGCTGGGGACGCGCGAGTGCCGGTGAGGGACCCTGCCGACGATGAGCGCGTGACGGAAATGTGTGCTGTTGTCTGATGCTGGTTCTGTGGTCTTTTGTAATGTGTGCATTTTGAACTGTGAAAGATGGGTAGGTTGTGCCGCGCTGTTATCAGTTGAGTTAATGTTTCAGCACGCCTCAGGATCAACCGCCGTTGCCACTCCGCGGGCAACGCCATGCTTCTTGATACAGAGATCGTTTGTGTGATAGGTATCAGTTTGCTGTGAGGACATTGCGTGGTCGTATTTCCTTTCCGTGTTGAACGTTGTCGTCTCACCCGCAGGCCATCGACAGAGGAAGCCGTGGCATCAACTTCGTTCTTTCGGCACTAGTATTCAATGTCGCCCCCACGATATTCGAAGTCAGCTTGGTTAGCGGAATTCTGGTGAGTCTTTTTGAGTGTAGATCTTCGAAGCCTGCTTGAAAATCGCGAACAACTTGGAATTAAAGTATTGTGGCAACGAATCATCATTTGCTACCAGCGATTTGTGCCAGTGTATGACTTTGTACCGCGCAGTCAACGATCCAGCGGCCTCATTGTCGGTCATGTGAACAGCAACAAAAACAAGAACACCTAACTGAAGCATACAGCTGCCGCGTGTGTGTGTGTGTGTGTGTGTGTGTGTGTGTGTGTGTGTGTGTGTGTGTGTGTGTGTGTGTGTGTGTGTGTGCGTGCGTGCGTGCGTGCGTGCGTGCGTGCGTGCGTGCGTGCGTGCGTGCGTGCGTGCGTGCGTGCGTGCGTGCGTGCGTGCGTGCGTGCGTGAGCTTGTCTGGCGGCCCGACGGCTGACGCCGCCTGATGCGCGGGCCGGCAGTGGTACAGCTGCGGCCCGGCGTTCGCGCTCGTCACCATGGGCTGCATCGGCTCCTACACGGCCCTCACGCTGGGCATCACGCAGTGGCGCACCAAGTTCCGTGTCCAGATGAACAGGGCCGACAACGAGGCCGGAAACAAGGCCATCGACTCGCTCATCAACTACGAAACTGTTAAGGTACGTGGCCAGTGGCTCACAGGTCCTCCAGGCACGAGTCTAACAGCGTTTAGTTCGTGCCAGGTGGGAGCGGTTTTCACTGCCCCTCAAACACTTCGATCGATCGGTTCCGGTACTAGGCGGACATAATAGTCGATGTGTCGCGTTCAGCGCTATAAAGACACAATATAGCCCACTTCATGTATTCTGTTGCTGAAGAAGCTTGAGTGTGGGTATGCGTTGTATATCCTTGTGTGCGCTGTATATTCTTTCCCGTTTCATTGCCTTTTGTTGCGCACCTACTGCACTGTATACGGCCGTGCTGTTTCCGGCGGGCAGTACTTCAACAACGAGCGGTACGAGGCGGACCAGTACGACGCCGTGCTGGCCAAGTACGAGCACGCTTCGCTGAAGACCACCACGTCTCTGGCGCTGCTCAACTTCTCGCAGAACGCCGTGTTCAGCACGGCGCTGGCCGCCATCATGGTGCTGGCCAGCCGGGAGATCGTCAACGGTGGGTGAGCGGGCTCGATCCCGCCCCTCCCCCTCCGGCAGGGCGACACAGGAGCAGAACGGGCGCGAGCGACCCTGGGGGATAGTTGACTAGAGTGATGATGTGAGTCCTGGTGTTCTTGCCTGCGCCCCAGTCTGCGCTTGCCGCATGTGTTGGTGGGCAATGACAGGCTGGCGGGTGTTACCGGGCAGTTATGACGTGCTGACCCGTGTTACCGGGCAGTTATGGCGGGCTGGCGGGTGTTACCGGACAGTTATGGCGGGCTGGCAGATGTTAATCGCCTGTTATAACGTGCTGGCGGGCGCAACCGAGCAGTTATGACGGGCTGGCGGGTGTTACTCGGGTGTCATGACGAGCTGGCGGGTGTTACTCGGCTGTTATGACGGGCTGACGGGTGTTACTCGGCTGTCATGACGGGCTGGCGAGTGTAACCGGGCAGTTATGACGGGCTGACGGGTGTTACTGGGCAGTCATGACGGGCCGGCCTGTCTGGTACGCCGTCGTCGCCGCTGACCTGACCGCCGTCGTCCGCTGTCGTTGCAGGGACGATGAGCGTCGGCGACTTGGTGATGGTCAACGGACTGCTGTTTCAGCTCTCCGTCCCGCTCAACTTCCTGGGCTCGGTGTACCGCGAAGTGCGCCAGGCCCTGATTGACATGAAGGCCATGTTCACGCTGCTCAGCGTGGTGCCGGCAGTCCAGGTCGGTCGGCGGGCGGCCCGCCCGGCTGGGCGCAGCGCGGGTGATAGTCCTCTGATGACAGCCACAGCTGGAACGTCGCGCCCGTTCGTCTGACGCTCAGTCCCACGCACATAAACACACGCTCAAACGGAAAAAAGGCGAGCGTTAGTGATGCGCGACGCTGCCCCCTGAACACACTGCCGCGATTCCAAGACTGGGAGCCCTGTGCGAGCCCGAACGCACGTCGGCTGTCGCGCGCCGGGGCTGAACGGCGTCCGTCGGCGGCCGCGTGGGGGCCCGGTCCGATCTGACGGCCCCCGTCCCGCCGCAGAACAAGGTGGAGGCGCCGGCCCTGCAGGTCAGCCCCCAGACGGCCGCCATCACTTTCGACGACGTGGGCTTCCGCTACCTGGCCGACCAGCCGATCCTGCGCGGCCTGTCGCTGACGGTGCCGGCCGGCCAGAAGGTGGCCATCGTCGGCGGCTCGGGCTCTGGGTGAGGAGGCGGCGGCCCTCTTGGCTGACTTGGTGCATGTGTGAGCTTCGCAGTTGCCTTCAGCGGACAGGGTTGATAGACTCGATTGCTGATGCCACAGCGTGGAGGCGAGCCGTGCCATGTTGACCGTGACGGTGAAGATGGTTGGAGCGCGGCTCGTGTCCGACGCTCACTGTCCCAGCTCGTGTCCGACGCTCGCCGTCGCGTCTCGTGCTCGACGCTCGCCGTCCCTACTCGTGTCTGACGCTCGTCGTCGCGGTGCGTGTCCGACGCTCGCCGTCCGCGTCTCGTGCTCGACGCTCGCCGTCCCTACTCGTGTCCGACACTCGTCGTCCGCCCGCAGAAAGTCCACCATTATCCGGTTGCTGTACCGGTTCTTCGAGCCGCAGTCGGGCTGCCATCTCGATCGCTGGCCAGAACATCCAGGACGTGGATCTGGACTCGTTACGCCGCGCCATCGCCGTCGTGCCGCAGGTGAGGGAGGCCCCCCCCCCCCTTCCCCCTGTTCCGCCGGCGGACTGCTGTGCTCCGGTCACGTGCCGTGTTGAGCTGAGCATCGGCGAGGGACAGCGCGGCCTGCGGTTGCAGCCACTGGCGGCGAGAGACACGTCGGGATTCAGTTATCTGGTACTTGCATTACGGCACTTCTTACACACTAATTTGCTGGCTTACTACTTACGTTACGTGCAGCAATGGATCAAAAGTGGTACGATCTGCTGTGGCTGTGCGCTTTGGATGCGTTTGTGTTGCCAACGCGGCACGCGAGCTTCGACGCTCGTAGGCAGACGCCGTGACCAGCGGTGCCGCGTCCCGTGACCGTGGTCGGGTCGTGCGGCGCCCAGGACTCGGTGCTGTTCCACGACACCATCTACCACAACCTGGCGTACGGCGATCTGAGCAGGCCCCGCGAGGACGTGTACGAGGCGGCCAAGATGGCCGACCTGCACGGCTCCATCCTCACCTGGCCCAACGGATACGACACGCAGGTACGGCAGCCGCCTCTGTGACGTGCCCAGGCCGGGGCAGATGTGTGCGTGTGCGTTTGCGTTTGCGTGTGCGCACGCGCGCGCGCGTGTGTGTGTGTGTGTGTGTGTGTGTGTGTGTGTGTGTGTGTGTGTGTGTGTGTGTGTGTGTGTGTGTGTGTGTGTGTGTGTTGTGTTGTGTTGTGTTGTGTTGTGTTGTGTCGTGTCGTGTTGGACACTTGGTGACACCACCCACTCGACGCGCACAAGAGTGGTGCCATATTCGGGACGACGACGCCTCGGTCGCAGCGCTGATCACAAATGTTGGTGAATTCCGCGCAATCAGTGCCTGTGTTATGTGCGATGCGAAAATGCGCAAACAGTGTGAAAAGTTACGGATTCCAAGATATTAGCCATCATTTGATTTGCGAATCGCATTACCCTCAAATGCACTGTCGGGTTTGTAGCACAAAGGGAGCATTGAAGGATCTGCGCGTAGTGTGTGCTTTTCGGCGTGACCGCCGCCTCTGCCGGTTTGTCAGGTGGGGGAGCGAGGCCTGAAGCTGTCCGGCGGCGAGAAGCAGAGGGTGGCCATAGCGCGCGCCATCCTCAAGGACTCGCCCATCCTCATCTTTGACGAGGCTACCTCGTCACTGGACTCCATCACAGAGGGGGTGAGCGAGGGTGCCACGCGCTTTTCTTGTCATTTGTGTTCGCATTTCATTACCAAGCCACATGCAGTCGCGAGATCCACAAATATGCATCTTTTACCAGTCAGTGGTACCTTTTTGAATGAATGGATTTTCGGGATCAGAGCTCACGCTAAGCAGTGCTTGTGTAAGCCCTGATTCCTACCATGACCTCCACCGGACTTCGACCACCTTTCATGGGGTTGACGCGAGCTAATTATCCAATTCTACTTCAATCATCCCAAAAACCAAGTGGGGTGGGCTGCTTCTTTCATCGCAGGACGGATTGTCCAAGTTTTAATCCACCAGTCAACAAAGAGATCAGAAGTCTGACTAGTCTGCTTCATGATTCCAGGCGTGGGCAGCCTATTTTCATGGCATTCAGTTCATTGACCCTTCGGCTGCTTTCACTACTCTTCATCTTTGGCCATGTATTTTGCAGATAATATGGGCTTGCGGTACGTAATGCACAAAACTGATTTAAGTGTTAGGGACGCTGGGGACCGCGTTTTTCGGCGTTTGGATGCTTACCAATTTTTTGAAATACAGTTCAGGCTATCCATACCGAAGTGAAAGACTCATTGTGCATGCGCACCAACTCCACGACCAATTTATTGGTGAGTCCACCTTGCGTAGAACACATTGCGGCGCAGTTCATAACAGTAAGCATCCTACATTCCAAGCTGCTGGCAATGGTGGTGGATGAAAATGGTTCGAATCGGACGCGTTAGCGCATACGAGGCGTGAGAGCGGTGACATGGCACCGGCCTTTCGCAGAACATCATGGACGCGCTGCGACGCGCCACCAAAGGGCGCACATCCATCTGCATTGCACACCGGCTGTCCACGGTGCTGGACGCCGACCAGATCCTGGTGCTGGGCGGCGGCCGCGTGGTGGAGCACGGCACGCATGCCGAGCTGCTGCGCAACCCCAGCGGCCTCTACACGCGACTCTGGCAGTCGCAGTATCATAACGGCGAGGCGTGATGGCGCCACCGTCGCCGCAGGCTGGCGTCTGTATGGGGTTCGGCGCTCGGTACTTCGTCCAGCGGTTGGTGCCGCAGGCGTACCATGGCAGCAACGAGGTGTTGGTCTGGGTTCGATTGGCGCTCAAGCTTCGTAGGGGCGTGCTCCAGCCCGCGGAGTATCGGTACGGAGGTGGCGCGCAGGTAGAATATGGAACCTCGTCGGATGTTAGACAATAGCAGTATTGGTAAGCGGGGTGGTCGGGAGGCCCACTTGAGTTGTGATCTTTGAAGACTCACACCACGCAAGTGCCGCTGTTTGCAGGGTGGGCTGGCCTGCCTGGTCTGGAGTAGAAGTGCACTGAAATGCCCGATCGTCATCGCCAAAGCCACTGATGTTTGAAGTGTCTCGTCAGCCTTGTATACGGGTGGAGTGGACTTGTGTGTGGGATGAGAGCCGTAGGGCGCCCCTTTTCTCTGCCGTCACCGGAGAAGATTTGTTCCCGGTGCACGGGGAATCTGTTTGTATGCGTTTTTGGAAGCTCGTCTGGGGTCTGAGATCACCTGCCCAGTCTGAACAAAGCCGTCCGCATCGTCACTTGCTGAGATCAACCTTTTCACGGAACGCAGCAAAGTGAGACATTGATTGGAGTTTTCCAAGTAGCTCTGCAGTAGATGTTTACGGTGATGATCCGAGCGGGTGATTAGGATAAAGGTGCGGGGCCTTTTACACAGCCATATATCCGTCAGTTGTTATCAACCGCGCCGACACTGGACCGAATTACCGTTATCCGTCGGACATGTGAGTGTTAATTTGTGATAGCGCTGTTGAGCTTACCCTTCGTGTTTCTGGTGGAATGCTGATCCCTTTTACATGTGACGTTGACGCTGTTCTTAAATAGCATGCGTCAATGTTTGGTTACAGTTGGCATCTGGTCAGGTAACGGAAAATAAAGACGTCGCGTTTGATTTGAGTGCGTCGTTGATCCGAACCCGTCTGTTGAGCACGAGCGCAACTTGACCTACTGCTGTACTGTGTATTTTGCCTCAGTCAATTTAAGTAACGCAACACCCAGTTACAAGCAGCACACACAACCGTATCTGCATTCAAAGATCCAATATATGCTAGCTTAGATAATACTCGAGAAGCGGGTAACACGCGAACACATCGGAGCTTTTCAGGCGGAAGCGGTGTCCGTGGTTGAAGCGCAGTGCCGGACGGAAGCCGCGTTGTTCTGGTCCGGTGTTTTACGCCACTGCAACGTCGCGACCCTCACGCACGCGTGCGCCCAGACATGATACATTATATGCAGTCAGGCCTCATCAAGCTACATTATATGTAGACTCCTGATCTCCGAGGAGCTGCTGACGCTCCTAATTGACCGCGCGCGCGCCCGAAGCGAGCCGGTCTGGCGGCGTGGCGGGATCATCCACCAGTGCACCACACAGCGCCCCAGTCGGCGCCGTCTCGGCGCCGCCGGGCGCGCTAACACCTGGCACCGCGTCACACCAAGCAGAGAGAGCACAGAGAGCACGCAGAGAGCACGCGCGGCAGAGAGCACGCGCGCACCTGCGTGTCCGATCACTGGGTGAGTGGTAAGATTTGGTCGCGCCCGGAGCGCTCCACACAGATCGGAGCAGTCCAAGGGCGAGCAGGTGGAGACGCGAGTGTCTCATAGTTCCGGGAGGGATTTGACATGCGTTTGTCCCGTTTGGGCGGCGGCGCTGGTCCGGTCGTGGCGAGGCCGACCCCGTGGCGTCCCGCTCACAGGACGAACTCGCCACCACCGCGCCCCACGTCACCGCCACGCCCCACGTCACTGTCGCACCCCACGTCACCGCCGCGCCCCACGTCACCGCCACGCCCCACGTCACTGTCGCACCCCACGTCACCGCCGTGCCCCACGTCACCGCCGCGCCGCTGGCCCACGAGACCCGCCGGCGCCCGGTCGGCCGGCTCAGAACGGCGGCAGCGCCCACAGCGTGCAGGTCTTGTCGGCGCCGGCTGACAGGAAGCTGAACTCGTACGGGTGCCAGCGGCCGGTGATGACCTTGTCCTGGTGCTGGGCCACGGCCACCGACGGCAGCGGCATCGTCAGGTCACCTGCAGATCGACAGGTCGGCGGCGTCAGCAGCCGGGTCACGGACACTGGCGCGAGATGGTGAACACGGCGCCTATCTTAAGAAGGCGGGACTAGTGCAACAGACTCCAAACTGTGTCGTCTATAAGCCTTTGTGTGCAACGCTGTTGTATTGGATTGCGGTTCAGCTTTGGTATACAATAGCGGTTGAGAATTTAGCCGTTTTGGATCATTCTGAGGGCAGTAGTTTAGAGTGCTCCACATGAACACAACCTGCGAAAATGTGTCTCACTCGCGAAAAATGATTTTACCATGTGCACTGCTTTCGAGACCCGAGCCACAGCCAGCGACGCCAATCACACCAGGCGCCACACAGGCTGAACCGCACGCTTCGCCTGAACACCGCTCAGCTCGACGGCCGCGCCCGGGTCACGTGACCTCGCAGCGGACGCCCCCTCCCCCTCTCCGCGGCCGCCGGCTCACCTTGCAGGTCGGAGAGCACCAGCCGGTTGTCGTGGCCGCCGGTGAGCAGATAGAAGGCGTGCGGCGAGAAGCGCACGCTGCGCACGGCGCCGTCGTGCGGCCGGAAGGTCTGGATGGTGCGCTCGCCGCGCAGGTCGAACAGGCCGCAGGACGAGTCCTCGTGGCCTGAGACGAGCATGCGGCCGGACGGGTCGACGGCGACCGCGGCGACGGCCGAGCCGCGGCTGGCCGCGTGCACGCTGGGCGGCTGCAGCCGGCTCACGCAGCCGCGCGAGCGCAGGTCCCAGACGCGCACCGTCCGGTCCTGGCTGCCCGAGACGAACATGGCGCCGCCCCAGGTGCTCAGCCCCAGCACAGGCCCTGCGGGAGACGAGCGGCGCTGGAGGCGGGCGCGACTGAGGGAATGGCGGCAAGCGATAGCTGCAGCGAGCTGTCGGAATGGTGCTTCGTATGCTGGGTTGGCGTTGGGACCTTGGATTGTGCGTGTTGACTTTCAGTCGGTGGTCAAGTGGCGCTTCATCGGTCTTCTTTTTGTGGTGAATGTTCAAAATTTAAGATGCAGTAGCTGAACCGGTTAGAGACATTTATCTTAGCAAGCATCACCCAGCAACATCAGCATAACGTTCAGCATCGTCAATCATATGAAGGGTATCAGGGTATAGGTTGCAAGGAATGTGTGACGCGTGTACGTACAACCGAATGTGCCGTCTTTTTTGCCAGCGCCACGCCTTCAGCCAGGACCAGACTTGAAGGAGTTATGATGCTTGACACAACATTTGCTTTGCACAGGCCTCAAGCCCTCAAGGCGGGGCTCGGTGACAACCCTGGGAGCAGCCATGGCTTGTTTCCCGAGGGCGGGGTTCAGCGAGTCCTGTTTTGCTTCCTTGATAAGCCCAGCCCCGGCTGATTCGGGCGCGTTCGTGCGGCCAACTATTCAGCCGGTCGAAAGGTTATGGGTAGCTACTGACCAGTGTGGCCGGAGAGCGCCTGGAACGGCGTGCCGGTGGCACAGTCGGTCACGTAGATCTGGCAGTCGCCGGCGCCGCCACTGACCAGCAGGCTGGACTTGTTGGACATGTCCTCGATGAAGCAGACGTCCCGCACCGTGCCGTTGTGCATGGTCAGCTCCAGGGCTGGATCTGACGTCACAAAACCACAGTGTCAGCTCGCCGGCTGCTGCCGTATTCGTGGCACACCACAGCCGCCACACCAGTAGAATGCACAACGTCGAGCCGCCGTATGTGGTCGAAGCATCCGAATGTGCGTTTGATAGATGGCCACAGTTGCGGGCTTCTAAAAATGGTGTACAGAGAGCCAAGATCATTGGGTCCTCAACAGGCGACCGAGTGGCCGGCTGGGTACCCTTCGTTCTGGTGGAGGTCGATTTGACCCCACTGAGATCTTGAGAACTAAGAGAGTTAGAGACACCAAATTCACAGGGTGTGTTGACCTGTACATGAACTCTCTTACGTCAAAGTTTGAGGTCCCTAGATTATGACCTTCGGGTCAAATAAGGTCAAATTCCAGATCGGTCTCCAAAAGCCCCTAAAACCCAGGCGACTGTTCTAAACAAAATGTCACACGTTCAGTTAAGGTCAGTAACCTTGTTTGACCTTTTAAAGGTCATGGTGACCAAAATGATATAAGACTGCTTTGAGCTTTGCATGTCCATAAGCGGCAAATATTACGCTAGGAAATATGTTCCTAAACCAAAGTGTTTATCTGGGTCATTTTAAGTCAGTGAACTATTCTGACCTATAATGGTCCATGGAACGTTATAATGCGGTTCCTGCTACCAATATATTCGAAATGAATACCAGAAATCAGCCCACACAGCGAGCTCGAAAGCAATAAAACAGGTTGGCTTTGACCTTGGTCTGACCTCGAAACCTGACCCTATGTCGATGTTATTTGCTTATTCAATTATTGTGTTGTCTACGGAAGTATCTTAGAAATGTATGGCTTCGTCTAATGTGCCGTTGTTTGATCGGATTGAACGATTCCCTAGAAATTGCCTTCGCTGAAACCATAACCTGACTGACCTTCCATACGTCAGCAACCTTACAAGGTACATGTTAATTTTTGATGCCAGACGATCCGCTATTCAACTGTCTACAGCTATGCAAAGTTTGGCACGGCTACTCCGCGCTGTTCGGAAACTAGTCTTGGAAAACTTTCAGGGGTGGGAGTCAATTTGACCCCAACCCGAGCCCGTGTTAAAGCCTGCGAGCCCGGAGTTTTACGCACCCGTTTAAATATCTACAACGTTTTTGAACATATGTGAATACTGTGATTATAGTTTGCCCTGTGTTTTTAGTTTAGCGGGATGTTGTCCGCGAAGGGCTCTGTAATCTCTGAACAGTTCTCTTGATAGATCGTGACAGGCCAGGCAAGGCATGTTTTTAGGCGCCTTCGCCCACCCCTGGGCTCTGTCTTAGAAAATGACACAGACATCGAATGAGTGTTTACCGAACGTATTGCAACTAATAACAGTTTTTGTTTATCACATTTTTTGTCGTGGATGCACGAGTCGCGCTGTGGATGCTCATTTCACTGTGTGAGTGAAAAGGCACCTGCAAAAAGGTAGGAAATCAAGCCCCGCTTATATGACAGATCATAAACGATCGGTTTGGTATTGGCCAATGAGGTCAGGCTGCCCCTAGGCGGCTATGCTACGATGTTGCACGTCACGAGTCAAAATTCCTCCAGTAATTCATCTGTTAACGGACGGAAGACCTGTCCTTTGAATTCGAATTCGGTAGCTTGAATTCCAATTCTAAGGACAGGGCTCGATCCCGAAACTGTAACTGCAAAACATAACGGCGAATGCAGAGCTCTTCCGTCTTAGTGAACGCCTCTATTTTCAGTCAACATTTGAGCAGTGACGGTGCCCACTGCTTTCACGGGTCGCAACGTCGTATCGTGCTGTTACAGACATGGCGAAATGCGTCACGCTTGGCACGTAAAAGTGTAGACATCGGCATGGGAGAACTCAAGACGCGGTGGTGATGACAGATGTGGTGTTCTTACGTACAACAGCGTGACGCGTCGTTGCAGAGACTGTACACCAATGTCACGTCCGTGTAATTTGGCCGAGAGTTTTGTGTCGGGCTGGCGTGGCGTTGAAGCGTGACAAACGGGGAATGCGCACAGAATGACGCCGCAAAACGGCAACAATGCCGCGGCATGGTTGACCTGCTTGTGTAATGCTAATATCCGGCGAGTAAAGGGAGGGGTGGTCGTGCTGCAATGCAGCGGTGCTTTGTGTGGCGGCCGGGTAAGTGCCCCGTCAGTCTCTGCAGAGTCCGGCGACAGCGCACGTTCCTATTATATCTCCTCATGCGGAGATGTCGAGCAGTCATGGAGGTTCGCCTTGTGTTCCGTATGTCTCGCAATGCTCCACAGTTTGTACGAGTGCATCTGGAATTATAAATTTCACTCGTGCACAAAGAGTTTACATGCAGTTAACTTTGTTCCTAAAAGTAACGTCCGTTTTAACCACGTTTATGGTCATTTGAGTGGCAATATATCAGATTGTTCCAGTATAAATAAGAATATCAAGCCAGTATAACCCGACAGGAACGCCGGGGGCCTACAGAGAGGCAGCAGAGTCGTTAAAAAGTCGGTTGACTAGTTTGGACAATTCAGCACAGTCTAGTGTTTCGATTACAAATCACAGTTGCATGTTTACGCCGATATTTACCCTTACATACGCTCGGGTAATGCAACTTCAGTCAGCGACCGTGCAGCTTAGCGTGAGATCAAGGTAACAGAAACGCTGCGTGGGATTCGATGAAACCTTGCGTGAAATTGCGTGCCTGTAACGTGCAGAAGTGATAGGCGTACCCTCCGCACGAACGCCGCAATGACTGTGATTCCGCGCACTATACCTTCCACGGAGCATGAGTCGGCATCGAAGCGCATCAGCTTGATGGTTTTGTCGTTGCTGCCGGTGGCAATCAGGTCGCCCACCGGGCTCCAGGCCATGCAGTAGATGGAGCCCTTGTGGTGCTTGGTCCGCTTCAGGAGTACCGTTGGCTGGTACGTCACCTGGTCATCTCTGCAAGCGGCCCGTGAAAAAGTGAGCTGAAGAAGACTGCACGCTGGGTTGGTCCGGAGAGAGGCTCATCAGGAGGTCATGACATGTGCTGGATGGTCAGAGAAACCTATAGCCGGCTTCATGGTAAGTTAGGAAAACCGGAACCGATGCATGCTGTTATTTATACAATAAGCAGGACTTTGGTGAGTGGGAAGACTGCATGGAAATTCTGGAACAAATCAAGCGACCTAGAAATACATCAACATCCCCTTTGAATTGCCTTAGAACCGTTTACAGAGGTTGGGATGTCACTTAAAATGAATGCATATCTATGGAACACACTTGCATGTACGTATATCCCACGTGCCGCCTCACCTGAGGTCCACCAGCTTTGGGTAAGCGCAGATGCGGAGCGTTTTGGAGTTGGATCCCACGGCATATAGCTTGCCGAACGGGTGGAACTCAGCGCAGCGTACGGCCTGCACGTCCTCCAGTGACGTCACAGGTACGAACCGCGGCCTCTCCACTGAGCTGCTCCTCGCGGGCTGCGGCAGGCGTGCCTGGGTCAGATACGCGGCCGACGCCGACGGAGAACGCCGCCGCGCTGCGCCACGTTCAGCCGGCGTCAAAGACAGCAGCAGCGACGCGGTCATGCTGCATGCAGCCGAAAACCGCCAGACTGACGAATTGCAAGCAACGAATGGTCCACAGAACGCCATTCTGTTATGCCCGGAGGGCACTTCCACGTGCACATCGTGACTTAATATCATGTGGTGTGTATACATATATATATATATATATATATATATATATATATATATATATATATATATATGTATTCACAATATTGCTCCCTACAATAGCGGCTGCATCATCAGGAAAAAGAACACACGAGCTCAGTACAAACCATCATGGCTTACAACACGCACTGACAAACCTACATGGGGCATGAGCCTATGTGGGGCATCCCACATCATTTCGGAACTCGCACAGGCACACTCAGCAGCATTTAGGTAAATCTATCCGGACGGGAAAACTCCTTGTAAACCTCACCCCTCCCCCATATAAGAACATTTATTTGCATGTGACACCTCAGTTTTGGCTTCTAAGTTTGGTATCTTGGGCAGGACATATTCCTCGCTTGACTTGAAAATCCTAGAGCCCTTATACATTACCAAGAAACGTCCGCCGCTACATTACATGGCCATCATATCCATTAGAAATTGTGTAAGATGATATGTGTCTGTGGAATTAGGGGTTGGTCGTGTGTCATTGCACGTGCATCTGTGGTATTTTCAACTCAATATAATAATGCAGCAAATGACGCGTGTCCTACATCATAATGGTTTACACCGAACGTGCGTTCTTTTGCCTGATGATGCGGCCGTTGCTCTGTGAAACGGGTCGAGAGTAATATAATATTCATGAGTTGATTAACGTTTGTTGATGTTAGTCACTTCTTAGTGAGAAAGCTATATATATATATATATATATATATATATATATATATATATATGCATATATAATATATATAATATATACATAAATATATTCATCCTAGAGTCATCATATTCGCACTATCTCGCAGTGATCAAAACCGGTGGGACGGATTTTCAACCAGTAGACTTTCAAACGCTCGAACACGAACACTAACTTTCGAGAATAGAGCGGAAAGGGTGTTTGCTCATTAAACTGCAGGTCAGTATTCAGATTGACCTGTAATTTAATGAGCAAACAAAGCCCGTTCATGTTTAACAATTTATTTCCTCATGTACTGGTCCGTACATAAGGCAATGGCAGCCAACGAAAGTAAGCGCGTTCAGCAAGTTACTGTTGTTAGTCGCGAGCTAGTTCAACAGGCTCACGAGAGGGGGAGCTTATGCTCCACCGGCGCTCCTCATGGTGTGTTAGGCACGCTGCTCAGCTAATGTCTCGGCGCGTTTCGCTGCGAAATTGCCCCGGCCGCGCTCAGGAGAGATGACCTCCTGTAACCTGGATTAGGCGGGACTGGTGAAAACGTGCTTCACGCCAATATGTGGAGTCCTCCTTTCGCTGGCGGTGCGGCGCGAGCGGCTTGGTCACTGCACGGAACACGCAGTATGGATTGGTGTTACCCTCGAGCGAATAAAAACACCTTAAGATTGACTGCGTACAGAAGTTACCTTTTTAGCCGCAGAAGGAGGCGTTGGAAGAAAATGCTGGCATAAACGGCACCATTACGCCAATTATCGTCGTGACCAGAGATTTCTGTCTACTTCTGCATTCACGATACATCTAATAGGCCCTCAACTACAGATCTGATGGGGGTGGCCCCAACGGGGAATATTTGGGCGGCCCCTAACAGCGGACATATGGGCGGCCCTAACGGCGGACATTTGGGAGAAGTTTGCAAACGCGCCTTTACAGCCAGATGCCTGAATGTATTGAAGTACCGCGTGTTTTACCACTTCAGTGCAGATAGCGCTCAATTAGATGTGGATACTGACTCCAGCTTACGTGCGAGCACTCTGTCCAGCCGCCGTGTCGAGGCGGGCGGCACAGGTGCCAGCCGGGCCGCCAGGCGCAGAGCGGTAGGGGCGCCGAGGCAGAGTGCGGCCACAGCTGCGCGGGCGTTGCCGAGTCCAGCCGCTCGGTGGGCACGACCGCCAGCTCCCAGCGGCCCGGCCAGGCGCCCTCAAGCAGCGGCGGCGGCCAGAGCCGGCCGCTGCAGCCGCCGGCCAGCTGCCGGCGGCGGTGCTCGTGGCGCGCGATCTTCAACAGCGCCAAGTGGCGGCGACTGTCGGCCAAGCCCTGGGGCATGGCGCCGCTGCTGGCGCTCGCTGGTGGCTGCTGATGACTGATGCCTAGTGTCTCTACCGAGCTGATCCCGCTCACTCCACTGCGCCAGAATTTCCTTCCGCTTCTTTCTGCTGTCTTCCCTCACGCCTCCTCTGCAGCTCCTGCGACAACTGCTTCCGCCCACAGCGACCAGTATTGCTTGTCGCCTGTGCCTCCAGCCATCTCGCACTCTTTCTCCCGCACTGCCACTCGTCCACGCGACTGCTGCCCACTAAGCTCCTGCCCAGTCGCGCTTCCATGCGCCACCTCCACGCTCCCCGCGCCGCAGACCCTCTGATCAGCGACGGCGGTATGGAGAACCAGCCGCGTGCGTGGACGGCACGCCGCGGCCGCCGCCGGGCTAGTGAGGCGCCGCAGCCGGGAGCCCTCCGTGGGCGGGCTCCGTGCCGTGACCCGTAAACGGGGCCGGCCGAGACCGGGCCGCCACGGTGGCCGCCGGCGTCGGCACGCCGGCGGCGGTCCGGTCCCGGACCAGTGGACCGTCCGGTCCCGACCGCCCGGCGCTGGTCCAGTGCGTGGCCCAGCCGCTCCGACTCCGGACGACTGCTTCAGGGGAGTGAGACATGGGGTAGAAGTGTGCTTCGCACGCCGGAGGCACGTGGTTTTGAAGGCACAAAGTTCGTAGCAATAGTCTGTTTTCTCGCGAGTATAGTTGCCCACGGGTCTGTATTACATTGAGCAACACTTTATCTAGGAATTGGCCCACATTCAAGATAAAATACAAAGAGCGTGCGGCACAAGCGAATGTTGAAGCGATGCTGCTAAAAATGAACAAAGCGCTTATGCTGTTACGTATCTACAACAGAAAAACGACCTTACCTACTGCCAAAGATATGAGGTAAATGGTTATTGCCGTGAATGAAACAAAGTCAAAGTTAGATTCATCGTGTTATGTGATGAGACCACTGCTTTTCGGACTCAGGATTGGGACATAGAGACTTGATTTCGCAATGCAGATTGTGCGAAACCCTACAGCGCATCAAAGTGGGCCTTTCAGTATGACAGAGCTGTTTGTCATCGACACATCAGTAAATTGTTTTTTCTTAAAAATGTTCCGAGGAGTTATCACAAACAGGCCATCATTCGAAGCTGATTGGTCGTTTCATCACTACCCCGGGAACGAAAATAACATTTCCATCAGCGCTTATCACTAAATCGCGGCCGCCTGTTTGAGACGTAAGCCAGCCTGTGCGTGCTGAGGCCCAGTCTCGGCTCGAGTGAGACGCGAGCCAGCCTGTGCGTGCTGAGGCCCAGTCTCGGCTCGAGTGAGATGCGAGCCAGCCTATGCGTGCTGAGGCCCAGTCTCGGCTCGAGTGAGACGCGAGCCGACCTGTGAGTGCTGAGGCCCAGTCTCGGCTCGAGTGAGACGCGAGCCAGCCTGTGCGTGCTGAGGCCCAGTCTCGGCTCGAGTGAGGCGCGAGCCAGCCTGTGCGTGCTGAGGCCCAGTCTCGGCTCGAGTGAGACGCGAGCCAGCCTGTGCGTGCTGAGGCCCAGTTTCGGGTCGAGTGAGACGCGAGCGATCCTGTGCGTGCTGAGGCCCAGTCTAGGCTCGAGTGAGACGCGAGCCAGCCTGCGCGCGCTGAGGCCCAGTCTCGGCTCGAGTGAGACGTGTGCCAGCCTGTGCGTGCTGAGGCCCAGTCTCGGCTCGAGTGAGATGCGAGACAGCCTGTGCGTGCTGAGGCCCAGTCTAGGCTCGAGTGAGACGCGAGCCAGCCTGCGCGCGCTGAGGCCCAGTCTCGGCTCGAGTGAGACGTGAGCCAGCCTGTGCGTGCTGAGGCCCAGTCTCGGCTCGAGTGAGATGCGAGACAGCCTGTGCGTGCTGAGGCCCAGTCTCGGCTCGAGTGAGATGCGAGCCAGCCTGCGCGTGCTGAGGCCCAGTCTCGGCTCGAGTGAGACGTGTGCCAGCCTGTGCGTGCTGAGGCCCAGTCTCGGCTCGAGTGTCGCCGTGTGGGAGGGCATCGGACGAAGAGTTAGTGAGCGCACCTATGGCTGTCCGGCACGCCCTTGTTTACCGCAGCAGCTCCAATGTGTGACCGGCGTTGCAACAGAACGTGCAACGTGAGGTAATGATCGGTGACGTCACGCGCCCTGAGGCACGGGTGCTGTGGCGACACGGGACGTTAATTGCAGCTCGACCACTCAAGGCTGCCCCTGGTTGCGAAATCGGCGACGGGAGGCGACCCCCTATGTTGCACATGAAGCGCATGTAACAGTCCGACATTATGGAAAACGGACAATTGCAAGTTGTTTTTATCAGGCAAGTTTATGGATATCGACAAATTGATCCGATCTGTTCCGGGATTTCATGTGCAGAGCTGTAAAACCGATCCCCTATACGGCGCGCCCAGTGTGTACAACATACGCAAAAGGTGTTGCTAGAAGGGTAAGTGCAGGGAAGCTAACTCAATAAGCAGTGCTTAACGGAAAGAAAATTACGAGAACTAGGAGCCGCAATTACCTGCAGACATGAATTCAAAAATATTTAAGCTCCCGTCTTGACATACGTAATGTATCTTCTTTGGACTACTGGTTGAAACCGTGCATGAAAGTAATCGTGCGTGTCCCTCATACCAAACCAGAAAACACCATTGATTTTCATATGGTCTTGCAATTCGGAGTAAAGTGTGAAAATACCAGATGTGATGAAATAAGCTCACTTATAACGATTAGTATACTTTTAAGTGGAGAAGACTGCTCTAGACAACAC